CACGACGTTCTGATCGTGTCCTTAACGGTGGTTGTATCCGCATTGGTTCAGGAACCGAATCTTCACTATGTTTGGTGTGATCTTCTCTCAAATGCATGGCGAAAGTCGGAGTCTTTTTGACCGACGGTGACTTTCTCACTGAGGGCTTTACCGTGGGAAGTCTATGATCTTGCGCCTCTGGTTCTAGAAACGAAAGTTGTTCTGTAATCAACACAAAAGTATTAAATTGATATATAAACAATCCAATCTTCAAGTAATTCTGTAACATTACCTGAGAATCTTCTCGGTTCCTCGAAAGGTAACCCATTTTTTCTGCTCTTGCTCCTTGTCAAAGAAGGTCCAAGTTCAAGGCCACTCTGTTTAATTTGTTAAAGATCAATGCTTACTCTAATTGACCCTAAAAAGAATTAGGTTTTTTAAGAAGCCTTACATGATAACTCTCTAACCATGTTTCTTCAAAAGTGGCAATGGCATAAGCAGTTGCTGCAACTGCAGCTGCGTGGTCCATGTCCCTTATCGGGTCATAACTCTGGCCGCTCATTTGCCTCGAGAACTGCTTCTGTAACCAGTTTTGGGGCTTCTTCTTATCTACCAACAACACACAGAATATGATATATAAGAAGACCTAAGGTGAAATTAAACAAGCATCAAAAGATAACAACATAGCAGAATTTTGTGGCACCTTCTTTGAATGAAACAGACTTCCTTGCTGGTACTTTCTTCTCTCTAGTGGAGCTACTAACCTCACCAGTTTTTTCCTGGGAAGCTGGATGCTTCCTCCTGAGACAAAGATACCAACTTTTTACATGAATATTTATGTATGTGTGGTTGAATGGAAAAGATGAATTTGGAGATTTAGTGATTTACCTTGTTTGCTTGATCAAGCTATCCATTTCAAACTAAAAAAAATATGGTTGTAGGAGTTGAGAGGGTTTGGTTAGTTCTGTTTGAGGGTTTTTGGTTTTTTTAAGGGTTTTTGAGATTATTGCTTTGCATGCAAGTTTCAGATTTGGATCATAAAGGTGTGCAGGTAAAGTAAAGAACACTTTTTAACTTTCTTTTCCCTCTTTGGCTTTTTGGTTCTTTGCTTTCTCAAAAGGACAGTGAAAAGAACAAAACAACATTCCTTTCAATCTTTAATTAATTTTCATATATGGATAAAGAATCATTTACATGAAGAAAACACATCAAGTACAATCTCGCTTTAACAAAGAAAATGAATCTTAAAAACTAGAAAAACATAGGGGAACTCTTATCATCAGTAAACAGAGAGAGTAGTAATATGCATAACTAAACAAGAAAGTCTGTGTCAGTAAATTCAGAGGACCTTATGTGCGCCAATCGCCTTCGCATCTGTTTTGAATGCGTTCCCTTCTATGTACCTGCAACATACATCCACCAAAAAATTTAGTTATAACATGGGTGCTATATATTGTCTTTACAAAGAGACCTTAGAGAGGTTATGAACCTACATATCCTTTAGGTTCGGGTGCTTGTAGAAAGCATCAGGGATTCTCCCATCGAACTGATTGTGGTCCAAGTGCCTGAAGTTAAATCGAAACATGCTTTAAGGTTGCAAGACAGCCCATCAGATAAATTGTAAGTTATGAATTTAGAAGAGGAGGCTTACAAGTAAGTTAGGCTTGATATATTGGCAAGTGCAGAGGGTATTGCTCCAGTCATATTGTTGTAAGATAAGGACCTAGACTTAAAAGGGTAAGATAGCGAGAGAGAAATTATGTAAGTGGTACTCATCAATCAAAAGATGTGATTCAAGTACTCACAAGATCTCCAGGTTTGTTAGATTTGCAAGCTTGTTTGGGAGTCCTCCAGTGAAGTAATTATTGTTTAGAAACCTATCAACCAAAATTTAACTTAGGAAACAACAATTACTTTTTGATGGCTAACTCTAAAAGTCACTTACAGGTTTCTAAGAGCTGGGAAGCATCCTTCTGTGCGTAGAAGATCTATTATACTCCCCACTAAGTGATTGTTGCCAGCATCCCTATAGACATGCAGATCATCATTACCAAGATACGAAGTATATATGAAGTCTGTTGGTTAATCTAGAAAAGAGAGCATTGAATGTAAGAGATTACAAGTGGCGAAGCTTTTGTAACTTTCCCAGCTCTGCCGGAATTCAACCAGTTAAATTGTTCTGCTGAAAATGTATGTATTGGAGCTCATGAAGATTTGCAAGCTCTTTGGGGATCTTTCCTTTAAAATTGTTAAAGCTCAGGTACCTGCAATAGTGAGATCATGTTATAAAGCTGAGCTCATAGAAACCCCTTCAAGAATGTTCATCCCTGAGACATGAGCTAGAATCACTCACAGAAAAGTTAGACTCTTTAGTCCACCAATTTCAGGAGGCAGGGCATGTTGAAGTTTGTTCCACCTCAAATTCCTGTTTGATATATATATGTTGAGATACTTATGTAACTAAGAATAAGAGTGTGTAAAGAAACATTACAGTGACTTAAGGCGCTTAAGCTTCCCAATTTGCGGAGGAATAGGTCCTGTCAATTTGTTGTTATGCAGATCCCTACACAAAATTCATAATCCTAATTCCTTTAAACTACCATAACCCCTGAGCAATGGATTTGTTTTCCAACTTCAAGAACATGAGTAGCATCAGAACTAACAAGATTGCAAGAATCTGCAAAACTTACAGAACAATGAGATCTAAGAGATTCGTTACAGCCATTGGGAAATTCCCCGCTATCGACATCGAAAACACTTCTCTGCAAAGATCACAAAAACCATTTTTAAGTCCAAAACAATCAAAACATTTCAGAGTTTGTGAGTCGAAAGATTACAGCTTAGTGACGACACTGTAATTGCCAACAGTTCTTGAGCAAGTGACACCGGACCAACGAGGCAAATCTCCATTTCCACAAGGATCATCACCAACCCAAGTATACACCACTCTCCAACCCACCAAACCCTTTATCTCATTCAATGCTTTCACTGACAAAAAAAACCCCCAAAATTCACAATTCTGAAACCAACCCAAATCAGATATAAACGAGAAAATATCTAAATCGGAAGAGAATACCGTCTCGTTTAAGCGTTTTTGCGAAGGAGACATTGATCATCAACGAAATAGCGAAAACCCAGAAAATCAAACGCAAATGCTCCATCGATTACGCTGCAAACGATCTGTAGAGCTTACGAAATCGTGGAATAAGAAGAAGAGAAGAATCAATTTTGTAATCTCGATCAGTGAAATGGTGTGAGAGGAGAAAGAATTATTATTTATCATCGCCATTGAAAGCAGCAAAAAGCTCAGTGGAAACAAAACGAACCCAGCATGGAAGAAAAACAGTTGAAATTCCTCAATTTTTTTTGTTGTTCATATTAAATTAATTTCCTTAAACAGGCCCAATAAGGCCCATTTAGCTTCAATAAGCCCATCTCTATGGAAGGTGAAACGTCTGGTTCCAAAAATAGCTTTATAAACCGAAAGATAAAACGTCGTCGTATCGAAACCACTGTTTATATCATTCTTCTCCGGCGTTCCGGCAACAATTATTCTTCATATCCTCCGTCGTAACAATCGCCATGATCGGAAATTTATCTTTCGTCCTTCTCTTCTTCTCTGTTTTTGTCTCTTCTGCTAATGCTAAGGAGGCGATTTCGATTTCACCAAAAACTCTGAATCGATCTGGAGATCCCGTCGTCATTCAATGGTCCGGCGTCGAGTCTCCGTCCGATCTCGATTGGCTAGGTATCTACTCGCCGCCGGAATCTCCTAATGATCACTTAATTGGTTACAAATTCCTGAATGTTTCTCCGACGTGGAAAGATGGTTTCGGTTCGATTTCCCTACCTCTGACCAATCTCCGATCAAACTACACCTTCCGGATCTTCCGATGGAGCGAGTCCGAGATAGATCTGAAACACAAGGATCACGATCAGAATCCTTTACCAGGAACTAAACATCTTCTAGCTGAATCCGAGCAGCTTACTTTCGGATCCGGCGTTGGCATGCCGGAGCAGATCCATTTGGCTTTGACGAATATGGTTAACACGATGCGGGTTATGTTTGTAGCTGGCGACGGAGAAGAACGCTTCGTGAGATACGGTGAGGCGAAGGATATGTTAGGCAACTCCGCGGCGGCGCGTGGGATTAGGTACGAGAGAGAGCATATGTGCAATTCTCCGGCGAATACCACCATCGGATGGAGAGATCCTGGTTGGGTTTTCGATACCGTCATGAAGAATTTGAATAATGGCGTTAGGTACTATTATCAGGTAAACAAATCAATTTGATATAGTTGTTGGATTTTGAGAATATCAAAGGTTATGTCTTTGATTTGGAAGGAATATCTTTTGATTACAGGATTGATAAATCAACTGTTTTGATTGCTGGATTCGATTTATGGTTTGCTAATCTTGTGGGATATGAATCAGGTTGGGAGTGATTCTAAGGGATGGAGTGAGATCCATAGCTTTATTGCTCGAGATGTTTATGCAGAAGAAACCATAGCTTTCATGTTTGGAGATATGGGTTGTGCTACACCTTACACGACATTTATCCGCACGCAAGATGAGAGTATATCAACCGTGAAGTGGATACTCCGTGACATTGAAGCTCTTGGTGATAAGCCAGCTCTTGTTTCACACATTGGTGATATAAGTTATGCTCGTGGTTACTCGTGGGTATGGGATGAGTTCTTTGCTCAGATCGAGCCTATTGCTTCGAAAGTTCCGTACCATGTCTGCATCGGTAACCATGAGTATGATTTTCCTACTCAGCCTTGGAAACCCGATTGGGCAGCTTCGACTTATGGGAACGATGGTGGTGGTGAATGTGGTGTGCCGTATAGTATTAAGTTCAACATGCCTGGAAATTCATCAGAGCCCACGGGAATGAAAGCTCCTGCAACAAGGAATCTATATTATTCTTTTGATATGGGTACGGTCCATTTCGTTTATATCTCCACAGAGACGAATTTCCTTAAAGGAGGCAGTCAATACGAATTCTTAAAGCAAGATCTAGAGTCTGTAAACAGGAAGAAAACGCCGTTTGTTGTTGTGCAAGGACACAGACCGATGTACACTACGAGCAACGAGGTTAGAGACACTATGATTCGACAAAAGATGGTTGAGCATTTGGAACCGCTGTTTGTGCAAAACAACGTAACACTTGCTCTATGGGGACATGTTCATAGATACGAAAGGTTTTGTCCAGTAAGCAACAACACTTGTGGCAAAAGTTGGCAAGGAAACCCGGTTCATCTTGTGATTGGTATGGCTGGTCAAGATTGGCAACCGATTTGGCAGCCAAGACCAAACCATCCAGCTGTTCCCATATTCCCTCAGCCTGAACAATCAATGTACCGTACAGGTGAGTTTGGATACACTCGTCTAGTTGCAAACAAAGAAAGGCTCATTGTATCATTTGTGGGTAACCACGACGGTGAAGTTCACGATACAGTTGAGATGTTAGCATCTGGGGAAGTAATGAGTGGGAGCAAAGAGAATACTAAAAGCTCAAGTCTTAAATCCGTTCCTGCTTCTTCGACACTTGTGGGAAAATCCGAATCTAACATCTCGTGGTATGTCAAAGGAGCAAGCTTGTTGGTTGCGGGCACGCTTTTAGGGTTTGTTATCGGATTTTTTACTCGAGGAAAGAAAGGATCTGCATCTGGTAACCGTTGGATCCCAGTCAAGAACGAGGAAACATAATATTAAACCGAGTCTATATATAGGGTCACGATTTGTATAGTAGTTATCCTTTTTCCCACGGTAAGGAACCATGTTTCTTTACAACTAAAGTTGGGAAGAAAACATCAGTTTTTGTACACTAAAATAAATATTTATTCTTGTTACTTTGAGTCTGAAGAGTTTGTATGGAAAATCACTCTACGATGTTACTTATTGAAGGGATTTTTGGTGTAAATACATATGTATATTGTATGGTATATGAATGTATTAGTAATATACATACAACTCTTTATGGTTTGACTTCAAATGTTTCTGGTTTTTTTTTTTTTTTCAGATATAGAAAAAGTTAACTTCATTTGAATCAGAATGAGATTGGTATGAATTGTTTTTTCCGCGATATCGATTCTATTTATAAGGATTGAATACTCTAATGAGCTTGTTTGGAAAAATTGAATCAAGATGAGTTTTAATATTGACAAATTTTGTAGCAAAGAATAAACAAAGAAGAAAATTTCAACTGTACGAACGTAAAAGAGAAAAGGATACGTATTAGTATACATATTATAAGAATGGTAATTTTGTTGGAAAGTTGTTTTTATTTGGAAAGCAAGTGACGTGCTCGTGTATTAGCTCCTTTAACACGAGAGTTAAGCTCATCAATATCGTCATCAAGATGATCAAGAGCCTTGTTTTGCCTGCAAATTTTCGCACAATATATAAGTATTATGCACACATACGTATATACAAATGTATGAAAATACGTATATATGTGTTTATCTGACTTGTCGAGCTCAGATCCCATATCAACAGCCATGCTCTTAAGATCACCCAAAATGTCACTTAAATCTGAAAGTCCATCGTCTTGCTTTGCCTTCTCTTGCTGCAAATATACATACCATTTTTGGTAACTTTCCTTAATTAAGCATTTGAGATTCACAATTTCTTTTGGTAAAATTTGAATTTGAAGAAGAATCACAAACCTCAACTTTTTGCAATGCGTTTGTTGGTTGGTCTAATGGTAGCGGTTGGCTGCTTGATCGTCCTTTCGCAGCCAAACCGAGTTTCTCTCGGTCTTCCTTCCCGCTCTTCTTCGACGGTTTATCTAAACATTCGACCAAAACATGATTTCATCCAATCAAGAATCAAGATTGGTAGCGTTTAATCAATCAAGAATTGAGTTATTCTGCGAGGTATAGATCGGTTTATCTCTAATCTTACAAATCGCAAACAACAATCATCATACATATAAATTTGTCCTATCAAGAATTATAGCAATAATGATTGTAGAATCCTGTCTCTACGGATTCGATCAAAATGGTTAAAACCTGGTGTAATCATCGGTCCCGCGATCTCTTTAGTCTTCTTCGGTTTCCACGGCTTAGAAAACATTCCTCCTAAGTTGTTCAAAAGCTTCTCTCCCTGATCTCAAAAACATTTTTAATCAACAACACATAAAAGAAAAAAAACAGAACAGATGACTTGACATTTTTCGGATAGAAGAAAGTCCGAGTTTTACCCGACTGAGATCTTTATCCATTTCAACAGCCATAACATGAGTCCTGTTGATCTGTTCACCTTGGTTATGCAACATTTCGAGCGTTCTTGTAGCATCCGATCTTATATCTTCAGCGATCTTAAGACAATTGTTAACACCTTTGGTTGTTTCTTCGGCTTTATAAACCGCATAGTTCTCTAATTCTTCTGTCGTTTGGCTCTGCAGACCACCGGAATTTTGGAAACCGTTCTTGTACTTGTCGTCATCGTCGAAATCTGGTGTTATCAAGATTGGTTCTGAAGAAGTTCTTCTTCCTGCATTGATTGTTCCTCCTTTTTTGTCGCTGGGAACTTTGTTGTTCCCCGGTGATTTGAAAAATCCAAACATCTATTTAAGAATGAGAATAATACTATTTGATCAAAAAAAAAAAAATTCAAGAGAATGATAAGAAAACACACAAACTTTTGATCCAATGGGTTTGGTTTACCTGTGAAATCTC